TTTTTCATCAGAGGGTTACTTCCAAAACTGAAGTCCAACCATTTTATAAGAACCATGTCATCCTTGTGAAACTTAAAAAGAGGGTAAAATACATTTCCTCAAATGCATTTTTTAATCCAAAAAGGACTCRATWGAGAAGTATTACGAGCTCAGCAGACATGCAGTTTCACCAGTTGTTTGCTGGTTGTTGCTGCTGATAGCCTGCAGGAGACGAGCTGGGTGGGTGTGTGTGTGTGATGAGGAAGCTCAGCTTGGAAACACAGCCCAAGATGGTTCTAGTCCCATCCGGTCGTTTTTGCTCCCCTGCCTGGCTGCTTCAGGACACTACAGGATTTCTCAAACATGCATGAATGAGTCAAAGTAAGACTCTGGGCATGTTTTTGATGAGAGGATAACATYATAACATGATATAAAACTCAAAAAAGCTGATTTTACATGATATTAGTATTTGGGCTTGATTCTCTCCCACCTCCATCACCCATGTGGGACCTGGCCTGTCAGCCGAGGTGGAGGAGACTCTGAACTCTGGTGAGCCAAGCTAAATAACATCATGTGACTCTGGACTCTGGTGGGGCTATGGTCAATCCTACTATGGAGACCCACCCTCAACGTCACCGACTCCCCTGAACCCCTCCCCATTTCATGTGTTATCTGACCTAAGCTCCCTCCCTGCCCAGGCTGTCCTGCTCTATTGCGAGTCTATTTTTGTGCAAATGAACCTATGTTTCTGATGTAAACTTAGGGCCAGAGCAACTTTTTTTCAACTCAACTTTCTTATTGTGTATTTCCAGCTGCTAAAAAGGTAGCACGACCCGGTTGCGCATGACCTGTTCACCTGTTCCCCCATGTTCTGTTGTGTGTTTTTCTTGAAAGGGTCTTCTTAACTGCAGTCTCATTCTACATCCCTGATGTTATGTTTGAATGTCAATAAAGAGGATCTCTATCTCTGCATTTCATCCATCTCACATGTGGAGCAGGCCTACCATTTGGTTCTTCCGCCTATCCGGAGTCGGGTCGCGGGGGCAGCAGCTTCAGAAGGGAGGTCCAGACCACCCTTTCCCCCAGCCACTTCTTCCAGCTCCTCTGGGGGAACTCCAAGGCGTTCCCAGGCCAGCCGAGAGACATAGTCCCTCCAGCGTGTCCTGGGTCTTCCTCAGGGCTTCCTCCCAGTGGGACGTGCCCGGAATACCTCACCAGGGAGGCGTCCAGGAGGCATCCTTACCAGATGCCCGAGCCACCTCAACTGGCTCCTCTCGACGTGGAGGAGCAGCGGCTCTACTCTGAATCCCTCCCGGATGACCGAGCTTCTCACCCTATCTCTAAGGGAGAGCCCAGCCACCCTGCGGAGGAAACCCATTTCGGCCGCTTGTATCCGGGACCTCGTTCTTTCGGTCATGRCCCAAAGCTCATGACCATAGATGAGGGTAGGGACGTAGATCGACCGGTAAATCGAGAGCTTCGCTTTCTGACTCAGCTCTCTCTTCACCACGACGGACCGGTACAGCGCCCGCTTTACAGCAGACGCTGCGCCAATCCGCCTGTCGATCTCCCGCTTCGTTCTTCCCTCATTCGTGAACAAGATCCCCAGATACTTAAACTCCTCCACTTGAGGCAGGACGACCCCCTGACCCGGAGGAGGCACTCTATCCTTTTCCAGCTCAAGACCATGGCCTCGGATTTGGAGGCACTGAGCCTCATCCCGGCCGCTTCGCACTCGGCCGCGAACCGCTCCAGCGAGAGCTGCAGATCTCGTTCCGATGAAGCCAACAGGACCACATCATCCGCAAAAAGCAGAGATGCGATCCTAAGACCACCAAAACGGATCCCCTCAACACCTCGGCTGCGCCTAGAAATTCTGTCCATGAAAGTAATGAACAGAATCGGTGACAAAGGGCWGCCTTGGCGGAGTCCAACTCTCACYGGAAACGAGCCCGACTTACTGCCGGCAATGCGGACCAGACTCTGACACCGGTCGTACAAGGACCTGACAGCCCGTATCAAAGGGCCCGGTACCCCATACTCCCGGAGAACCCCCCATTATTTGTTTATTTATTTATTTATTTATTTATTTATTTATTTATTTATTTATTTATTTATTACCTCTTTTGAGAGTAAATGTAATGTTCAACTGCATTTATCTCACGTTGCTGCTAAACTGGGAACAAATGAAAAGCTCAATAAAAATACATAAAAATACTATGAAAGATTTGTTCTGAACATTAGTAAAACACTCTCAAGGTAACATTTTGTGTTGTTTGTTTTTTTGTGTGTTTTTTTTCATGTAAACACTAAAACAAGTTATGCTTCAGTCAAGCCTATTGAGGAGTTTAAATTAAAATTTTAAAGGTTTACAAAATGTTGTAGCTGTAAAACTTTACATGGAGTTTGTATGACTCCAGTCCCACATAATCCCCTACAATAATCCAGAGAGACACACATCACTGACCTCAGGTTGTCATGACGGCTGGAGTCTGGCTTCAGAGCAGCAGAGCTGTGCATCTTGTGTAAAGTCATCACCAACACAACCAGGTTCAGCTGAGGTCCACACAGAGGGCAGGAATCAAACAAAGACAAATAAATATTCATTACTAAGGGTATTAATACATGATGTAAAAGACTTAGCATTCATTGAAAGAATGCTTATCGCCTACTGCCTTTCATGTCAGTTTTAAAWTAGTCTAATACTGAGAAACCACAGCAATATGGTCAAACCTTGTGAAGACGTGCTCTATCTCATGCAATGTTGTGAGATTTTTCAAGATGTGCTCAGATAATGTGTGAGCATGACACTCAGCTACTATTAGAGCAAATTTAGCACAGCGTCTTTGTAAAACTGAGTTATACGTATAATGTTTTGTGTTGGTTAAGGTTAAGGTGTGGCCTTCTTGAGTTAGGAATAAGAACAAGTTTTCGAATATGATCAAATTCTAGATACACAGCCATTGATTACTTCCTGAGAGCTGCTCTAAAATCTGTCAAATCATTTAGTACTTACAGGTGACTAATGATTAATGGCAAATTTAAATAATCAGATTTCATAGGATCAGTCAGTGCTTGAAGTAAGTGTTGGGAATTACTCTAAGCTACCACCACACCACATTACAGATAAAATTAGAAAAATTTGTCAAGTAATAAACGGGTTTGTAAGGTTGTTTAGCTTTGCCAGCCATCTTGATTTTGGTTGTGTTTCTAATCTAATCTGGTTCCTGAGTTACTTAATACTACAGGCAAATCCATACACACATAAATACACAAGCAAAAACATCATCACTCTTTTGCAAAAAAAAAAAGTATAGAAAGGTTTGGATAAATATAAAAGGATGAATACCTACAGTAATAATAACAGCTACAGGTCCGAGGAAACTCCAAATAAAGTAATTGTCTGTACGCAGCCAACACCTAAACACATTGAGAGACATGCAAACAAATCACAAGAAAATAACCTCTACCTTCAACTCTTAAAGTTTATATGTTGGGAAAAGCCTCCTCCAAAGATGCAGAGTCTTGAACTTACGCCGTTTTTGAGCCGTATCCTCTGAAGTCAATAGCTGCTGACACAGCCACCACCAGCCCAGGCACAGAGTATCCACTGAGGTAAAAATACTTCCTCCTGGAGTTACGGCCCTCAAATACCTCCCGCTGAAGCAGGTACAGTTCAAAGGCCTCCAGACACAACCAGCAAAACACTGAGAGCAATGAGAAGTGCAGCAGACCAGCAGTGATGGAGCACACAACCTGAACATCAAAAATAAGCAAAAACATTGCTTTTAGATCAGTTTGTGTCAAAATCCACATGCATATTTGTACTATTAAATGCTTGGATTTTGTAAATACTATTATATATAACTGGAATACGAACAGTGTATTTAGTCTTGTTGGCACCAATAAGGAAGAGAAGCTCAGAGATGAGCAGATTGGCCCACAGGTTGCAGTGGATGGTGCTGTGATCTGAGTGCCAGGGCGCCCCCTGGCAGCAGAGGGTGAGAAGGCAGGTTGCCAGACACACGAGTGCCACAGATATGCCGACCCAGGAAACCACAAAGACCAGAAGTTCCTCGACACCGGCCCTGAACTGTGAGGAAAAACACAGAGAAGTGTTTGTTTATGTGATAGTGAAGGGTAAACAAATGAGAGCGGGGTGTGGGGTGGTTAGAATAGATGTTGGAGTATATGTGGATCTTACTGTGTGCTTAGGTGTGTATGTGTGAGGTGTGTGTGTACTTGTTTCTGCTACAGAGTGAGGACTGTCATGTTTTTAATCCACAAAGTGAGGACATTTTTTTCAGCTTCTGCGCTTTACTAGTTAGGTTTAGAGGTATGGTGTGAATTAAGTTTTGGTTAAGCTTACAGGTAGGAATATTCTAGTAATGGATAGGATTAGGGAAAATGTTTGGGATAGGAGTGAATGCTATTATAAAAATGAATGGAAGTCAATATAAAGTCTTCAGATTGATGGAAGTACAAGAATGTGTGTGCGTGTTACATAACATCTACCACATTTATATGAATGAGCTGCAGCCCTGATGAATCATCCTAAAAGAAACACTTAATTGAAATGAAAAACAAAGTTCATCCATTATCTTCTGCTTTATCTGAAGTCAGGTCATGGGGGCAGCAGCTTGAACAGGGAAGCTCAGACTTCTCTCTCCCCAGCCACCTCTTCTGGGAGGACTGCAAGGTGTTCCCAGGCCAGCCAACAGACACAGTCTCTCCAGCGTGTCCTGGGGCTTCCCCGGAGTCTCCTCACAGTTGGACATGCCTGAAGCACCTCCCTATGGAGGCATCCAGGGGGCATCCTTACCAGATGCCCAAACTGCCTCAACTGACTCCTCTTGATGTGGAGGAGCAGCAGCTCTGAGTCTCTCCCAGATGACTGAATTTCTCACCCTATCTCTAAGGGAGAGTCCAGCTACCCTGCAGAGAAAACTCATTTCGACCGCTTGTATCCGTGATCTTGTTCTTTCAGTCACTACTCAAAGTTTGTGACCATAATTGATAGTAGAAATGTACACTGACAGGTAAACAGAGAGTTTCGCTACACAGCTCAGCTCCCTCTTCACCACAACAGACTGGTACAGAGTCTGTAAAACTGCAGAAGCTGCACCAATCTGTCTATCAAGCTCACTCTTCATTCTTCCCTCACTCATGAACAAGAACCCAAGATACTTGAACTCCTCCACTGGAGGCACAACTTCACCCTAAATACAGAGAGAGCAATCCACCCTTTCCCGACTGAGGACCATGGACTCAGATTTGGAGGTGCTGATGCTCATCCCAGCTGCTTCACACTCAGCTGTGAACTGCTCCAGTGAGAGCTGAAGATCCTGGCATGATGACGCCAACAGAACCACATCATCTGCAAACAGCAGAGATGAAATCCTGAGGCCACTGAACAGGACTCCCTCCACCCACTGGCTGCACTGAGAAATTCTGTCCATGTAAGTTATGAACAGAATCGGTGACAATAGGCAGCCCTGGCGGAGTCCAACTCCCACTCTGAAGGGGTCCGACTTACTACCGGCAAAGTGAACCAAACTCTTGCACCGTTATAGAGACTGAATGGCCTGCAACAATGGACCTCCAATCCCATACTGGCATAGCACCCCCCATAGTGTAACTCAAGGAACATGGTCGAATGCCTTCTCCAAAAGCAAAGTATTTTGCTTTATTTCTGATTCAGCTGCAACCCACCATCATCAACTATGCGAGTGTCTGACGAACAGGGAACATTGGTATGGAGAGAAATAAGTCTCACAATCCAAGCATGCGTGAACAGCATGATTCAAGGAAGCTCATCCAGATTTGAGCATGTGCTTAACAAGATTGTGTTAAAGCTCAGACTTCCCAGCTTTTCAGCAGCCTTGAATGCAACGTAACATGCATGTAAGTCTCAAAAGTCACATTCACAGATGAGCAAATCTGTGCACTTGTGCGAGTGCAAATCTTGTTGCTTGTTTAAAAGTTGATGTTTGCTCAAATCTTGTTGCTCGAACCCTCAAATCATGATGTGCGTGCACACTCGCATTGTGAAACTAGTCTCTCTCCATACAATGAAAAGTAAAAATTGTAAAAGCTGAACATAACAGTAACATTCCACTGGTCTTTCAATTTCTGCTCTGATCACACATTTATTCACATTTCAAACACTGGAACAAAAAGGCAATTTGTTCATTGAAAAATATAATATTCTCATGTTTTGTATCAAACCTTTGACTTGCAAACCCACATGAAACCCCGTTGTATCACCTAACTTCAGTAATGTTTTTTTTCTTTTTCAGTTTTCAAGTGGTCTGTCTTCAGTCTTGTCAGAGTATTAATTACAGACAGTACAAACCAGATCATTGCAGACACTGCAACAGATGTTTGACTCTACTGGTCTTTATTTTGTTTTCTTTGGTTGTTTGATGCTGTGCTTTGGGTTGGAAACAAAAAGTGATTGTTTTCTGCAGTGGTGGGCACCAGCCCGCTGAAGTGCAAATCCGCTAATTGCGGACCTAAATATTTGTGCACTACTGCTAATAACTAATTATCTACCAGTCATCATTATCTTGAACAGCCGAAGGTATGGCTGTCAATGAATCACGACACACGTAATCTGTCCAACAGCACCCCTCCCAGATAAACACACTTATTGTGAAGGTATACATCCTTGCTGACTGTTGCTTTCGGTCACGGTTCTCATTTCCCACAATGCTTTGTGTCTGTTTACATAGCAGGGAGGCAATAGCAAAAACAGTTAACGTTTGTAATTCATACTAAAATTTTGTATGTATTGATTTATTTTACTTTACAATCAGAGCTCCTTTTTAAAAAAAATAATAAAGTTTAAACGCTGGAGCTCAATACTTGACGTAATTGGTCAAAGCAATGGGTTAGAGACTCAGAATGATTTTAAGACGTCATGCTGATGAAGACAGATATCTAGTGGTCAACTGGAGCAACTACATGGAAAACTTTAAAATCCAAGCTCTTATTTTGAAGGGAAGATAGTTTCCTGTACTCGTGCTTTTGTTTCCCGTCACAAATCAAATCCGTCATGCACCAAGAATGCATCGCTTCAGTTTTCCAATAAACAGTTTTAAAATTACTTTACTGATGCTTCTTTAATGAAAAATCTACAACAAGCAAAAGAAAAAGACAAAGAAGCAGCTGAACTAGCAATCCTCAACAACTTTTTAATTTTTACACCAGGAGCTAAAGGTCTGTTTCAGGAAATCACATCCCCAGCAATCGGCAGTTGTAGAATTACGCTGTAAAAGAGTTTACACACCACTAGTTGGCAGTATTGTGCATATATTGTACATGAATTGTTGCCAGCTAAGTGTCAAATTGAACTTGTGCATTAAAATTAGCTTCCGCTAGTTTTTCTATGGCATAAGCGGTTTTGAAG